GTTCCGGGCATCCCCCGTGACCCACTTATCAGAGGACCCGCGCCAGATCCCTTCACCGCAGGCGAGCACTGGTGAGAATGGTGAGTAGAGGGGCGTCACCGGTAACTGCCCGCTACCCGATCCAGATCTGTACCCGTCCACCAGTCGAGACAAAAGAGAGTAGCCACCTAGATAGCCAGTTAAAAAGCAATATTCTGTTAGTAACCGATTATTTATCCACTAATTATCTATTACTATCATTAAATTACATCTAATCTATAGTCGTTTCTCTCAACGCCAACCCCCTCCGTATTTCCTCTGCTCCGCTTTGTTGGTTATGGGTGTATTGTTTACTATAGGGGCTTTCAATACATTATCTGATATGTAGGGGTCGGTGATTGCAGAGGTGGCTGAAACAGAAGAACTCATTGTCGCAAACGGATTCGTTGAATTAACAGGCTGTTGCAAATTATTAAACAATGTTTGCTGATTATAACTAGTCGAATTGGTCATTGGCGAATTGTTAGATGCCGCAGAAGGATTATTTGATGTCGATATGGATTCATAACGCTCATTGGGCGATTAGATCTGACCAAGTTTGTTGTCCGATGATTGTTCAAGTTGATATCCTGATATTTACAATCCAGACTGGGGTCTAGGACTAGACTGCTGCCGTCTTTGAGTGGCAACTGACATGCCAGGCATTGTGCTGCTTCTCAATTGAGGTTGCTGCACTGGTTGAGACTGGGATAATTGTGAGGACGGTTGCAAATTCGACGTTTGACGTTGACGTATAGTTACTAAATAGTGAGAAAATATCTTCAACCTCGGATTTATGACTAGATAGATAGTGTGTCGGATGATGGGGTGTCGACGGTTCGTCTGCCACTTGCAAAATAAAATATGTTGACGGATCACCAAAGGTAAGCACATCAGCAGGTAATTGTGTTGTTGAGGCAGTTGTCCTGTTTGCAATTCGTTTTGCGAGTTAGTCGGGAAATCTTGATATAACAAATACTGATTTGAGCCATCAACGTATTCCTGCTGCATTAGTTGATAGGTTATGGATGAAGCAGGATATGTCAAATTGTAGCGATACTGCCGTAGTTGTTGCTGCTGCTCCTGCTACTGAGAAGGTTGTTGTGACATTGTAGGTAGGTTAACTACACACATATAACCAATAACTGGGAGGTACGACATCGATAAGTCGGACACAACTACGTCGCGCTTGGTAGGAAAGTCGGTTAAAGTGGGCGATACGGTCCTTGTCAAAGCAGGCGTCGTCGTCGTACTAGACCCGAGATCCGTGAAACTCTTGAAATGTTTTCCTATTACATGCGTAGCATCATCGACTTCCAATTTATTGTCTCGAGAGTTTTTGTTTCTATTGAGTATGAGTTTTTTTTTCTTCTGTTTTGGAGGAGGAGCGATGGAGAGTAACAATATAGTATCGGAGTGTCATATGTAATATAGAGTATCAGCATAGAAATTGTTCATTGTTGTATTTGCATTTTGGAGGAGGAGGAGTTGTATGTGCAATGGAGGGAAGTGTCTGGGTATATATATACATGTATGAGTAGACACGTTCGCGTGTTAGATGACAACATCTTGACACAATATCGCGTCTGTCATGATTGTTTTCCGTAAATAAAAACAATCGAATCAGTGTAACATTCCGGGATACACGCAGTAAAAAAAATTTTCACTGGTTAACAAGTCATATAATTTATAATTGCCATGGAATGCTGTAGAAATGTTTGGAAGGATTGTAAGGTGCTTTAGCCTTATAAGTATAACTGTTGTTATCTATGTTGCACGCTGTAGAAACATTTGGAAGGATTGTAAGGTGCTTTAGCCTTATAAGTATAAATGTTGTTGTCTATGGTGTAAAGCAGCCAATGACTACTCTACCAGTGCTAGGGGGATCCCTTGTCTTCTGTACATGCTGTAGAAACATTTGGAAGGATTATGGATTATGGGAGGTGTTTTTTGTGTTTCCATAAATAAAATTATTTCACTGGTTAACACGTCATACAGTGGGGTAATTTACTACTAATAAGTCATGCGTATAGATATCTTAATGATGAGCAATATGATATCAGCATTATCTATGTGGTACAGCGAGTGACAGAACAACTTCATGTAATGCGTGTAAATAAGCAGTCATATGCTGTAGAAACATTTAGAAAGATTGTATGGAGGTGTTTATTTTCGTATGTATGTCAGATTATTTATGTCAGATCGGAATTATAGCATGATGTATGAATCAAGTTGGTATTCTGCTTCACTCTTTTCTTATCACTATGTGGAGTTATAGATAAGTTGTATGCACACTAATACTAATGTACAAGAAACACAACTATCGATAAGTGTAGGTTACAATGATATATATGACAATGTCATAATATCATACAGTTCACATTCATTAGTTATCCGTCATTTGTTCCTCACTCACAACTTTTATTATCAACCAGAATATACTCTTCTGCAGAAATATGTGATATTTGGTCAATGAGAACTATGAGTTCTTGTTGCAATACATAAAGACAAATTGATGTATTAAGTTGTTTTTACGTCTACAGACAACGATTTTATATTTTGTGATTGTGATTTGGAACGAAAATTGGCGTATAGTTTGTCCTAAAGTCATAATGCTGCAATGCGTAGTGAACATGACATATTGTTGCGTTGTTTACGTCTATAGCATTAATTCTATAATGTCGTATAATTTGCAGTCACGCGTCTGTAGGATTTTTGCCATCACTTTGCTATTTACTACAACCGAAAAAAAAAATAAGCTCGATATCTTTGCCTTTTCATTTCTAGTCACGGACAGTCATTTTGTTATGATGGGGTTTTATTGCACTAGGGAGTGCGAATATCAAATTAATCTTTCAAAAACTGCAACGAATAATTGGGGTAATTGTAGGGTTGCTAAAAGATAGAAAACAAGCAAGCAACGAATATGAAAGTAAAGGCGTCGTGTACAAAAAAAATTAAAAAATAGATAGTATAGGCCCACAAGCCCTGCTTCGCCATAATTGTATTTTTATTACAGTATCGTGTGTGTGTAAAGTTTAAAAATCACTTATTATTCTTCCATTGATTATATCGATTTTTTCGTCGATTGTCTGTTCAATAAAGTCGTAAAAATACAAATATCGAACATAACATTAATTGTGACAATAAACTGTATAGGCACGTAGGTGTCAAGCACACGACGCATAAAATGAATATCGTAGTTGATTTGTCTCTAGGCCTTTTGTCAGACTATGAGAAACTTTAAAAAAGCAGCAAATATACGGATATTTCAATTTATGTTGGAAAGGAGCCAAATAATAAAATCTTTTTCGCTTATACACTGGTATTGTGTACACGAAATCCATTCTTTGAGAATAGCTTAACTGGGAATACAGAGACGTCTAAGGAAGATGTGTCACCTGATGTTTTCTCTGCGTAGGTAAACCTCATATGTTAAACCTCTATTAATAACATCAAGCTTATTATAACAGCACTAGTACTAATGTAAGGCCACTAACCCAAATATAGGTTTATCTATACTGGGCAAATTTTCTATGATTCTTGCAAACATGCAGATTGGATCAGTCTTCTGGATGGAGCTAGCAAGCTTGAACTACTTGATCTTCTCATTGTAATTGAGCCTATTTGATTGAGGAACAAAAGGAATGGATTCAACAGAATATTGTCACAGTTCATAAGTATGCTTTCTCTATGATTCCTTTGAATGGGCTTCTGGGTTATTGCAATCGATTATGCTTTCACACTCAGATATTGTATTTAAATCAACTGATTTTGCAATTTTACCAAAGGAGACCTTTGGTCAATCTTCTCAAGATTGATGATCTCAGTACTGAAGAAGATGATATTTGGATGTCAGTTATGCAATGGGCCACTAAACAAGTGCCTGAACTAGAACTTGGAAATGGTCTAAATAATTGGTCATCCCATGACATCAACACAGTAAAGGATATTATAGCAGATTGTATACCTCACATAAGATTCTTCAATATGTCCCCCAAAAAGGCTCTTCCATTTCATTTGATGATTTATTACCAAGAAAATTGCATCATGATATACTTAATCATCAAGTAAAAAGATGAAAATGGAATTGGAGTAGAGAAAGATGTTGAATTATTTCAAAAAGCTGCTAAACAAAAACATGCTAATGCACAGAATAATCTTGGTCATTACTATGAAAATGGAATTGGAGTAGAGAAAGGTGTTGAAAAAGCACCAAAAAACTGCTAAACAAGGACATGCTTAATGCACAGAATAACATTGGCTATTGCTAGCAACGTGGAGTTGGAGTAGAGAAAGATGCTGGAAAGGCTGTTAAATTATACCAACAAGCAGCTGAACAAGGAAATGCTGATGCAAAGAATAACCTTGGCTATTGCTATCAACATGGAATTGGAGCAGAGAAAGATATTGAAAAAGCAGTTGAATTATTTCAACAAGATATGCTAATGCACAGAATAACCTTGGCTATTGTTATAGACGTGGAATTGGAGTAGAGAAAGACGTTGAATTATTTCAAAAACTGCTAAACAAGGATATGCTAATGTACAGAATAATCTTGACTATTGTTATAGACATGGAATTAATTGGAGTAGAGAAAGATGTTGAAAAGGCACTTGAATTATACCAACAAGCAGCTGAACAAGGAAATGCTGATGCGAAGAATAATCTTGGTTATTACTATAGACATGGAATTGGTAGGAAGAAGATTACGGAAAGACGGCGGGTTTGAAATGAATACTTTATTATTGATTGAGCGTCGCAAGGAAACTAAAATCCGCGGAACCGAAATAGTAAATTGTATCAAAGGCAGTTGGTAAGAACATTTGATGTGCAGCATTACATTGAAGCTAATATAGTAAAATAAGTATTAGCTGTTAGTATAGTATAGGAGAAATTATTAGATATTGCTATGAACAATAATCTAGTAAATGCACAATAATTTTAGCATTAGTTATTGAGTATAGTACGTATTAATATATTTCTGTGAACTCATACATTCTTTTTGCATAACTCGAAACGTGATCAATTTTTACGCGTATTGACAGAGAATAAAGAATAACCAGTTTGCAAGTTTCAATGTTTTGTACATTGCGGGAACAAGGGTCTCCTTAACTTACACCCTGGGTGTACGATTATTTGCGTACACCCGGGAGTGTAAGTTAAATTGGTACACACCCACGTACGGTAATGTGATATTGAAGACTAATATCTGGGGTCAACGGTATATTATATTTTACTAGTTTCTAAATAAAACTTATATTTGAAATTTGTTTCCTTGTAAAGATATCTTTATCGCTGGGGTAAATATTGAAACGCTTTTTTCCTATCAGCAGTAAATGGAGCCGAACTTGCTATAACTTTTAACATCAGGGTTATTATTCAATAAACGCGCGCGTTAGTGTACAATACATTTTTGAACTAATCCCACGGAAAGAAATAGACGTAATAATAATTCAGGGACAACATATACAAGACTGATCTAGCATCGTGAGTATTGAAAACGGTCACTAATTGTCGTTATTATTATAGATATCAGGAGTAGGGGTAGTCAGATAAGGATTAACGATTTCTCATCGATACTAGGAAATAAAGTAATAATTATATACTCAGAGTATCAAAAAACTACTTGTTTATTGGTAAGAAATAAAATATAAGATACTAAGACACAATAAGACACACCGATCATAGCGGAAAAAATAAGCCTGAAGTGCCAAAATTGCCTATTTCGTCTGCGTAGCACCACCGGGCTACGCAGAAATGTGGCGTCATTCGTGAATACGATTGAAATGGAAGTCTTATAATAAATTTTAGTGTATTATTTATTTTATCTAAACGTCTAATGGTGATGTTGATGATAATAATAGTAACAATTTTGACAATAAATACTGTATGTTTATTATTTACATAATCTATCAAAACTTGTTTGCTAAGTAAGGCCAATCAAACAATCCTTCGGGTAGTCAAATAGTTACATACAGTATCCTAGCTGACAGAAGAAAGATAATGCCAACCAAAGATAAGGACTAATTACGTTAGTTGCTACATAAGTGAATTAATAGGCAAATATTTAGACCTATTCGCCAGACCGTACGTAGTCAAACCAACTAAAAGCATATTGTTGTTTCAACTTTTTCCTATTACTTACTGTAACATTGAAACTCGCTTTTTATTGAAAGCTAAAACAACCAGATTTATTACATATGAGCCTTAATTATATTGCAAAAAAAGAATTTCTACACTTCGCAACGTATTGTATAAAACAGACGCTTAGTTAGAGAATTACTCTGACACAGTGCAAAAGTTTTATGTTCAACACTGACTTTACATAGATGCCATCTGAACAAGCGCATTGATATCGTCAATGAGAGGGCGAGGGCTGAAACTAAACTTGTCGTTATCAATATTTTCGAGCGATGGTTTTTCTAAGCTAATAGCTTTAAAGAAATCCATTGGTGAAGGAACTGGATCGATATTATTCTGGAATCTGTGTTTGACTTCTTTATCTACGACAACTTTCCATTTAGAACCTTAAATGCAAGTTAACATAATTAACGATTGTTCAAAAACATGTTTTCAACGAGAAAGCAGCAATTGCAAAGACTTACCGGTAGCTTGTTCAAACTTTTCAAGTATTTCGTTTAGTGACAATCTCGAACCAGCAACCCTGAGAGTGGCGTTACGACTTTCTTCTAATTTAAGAGATTCAGCGGTAAATTTGCCGATATCTGACAGAGAAGTAGCGGCCACTACGGTGTTGCCGTCTGCGTAGAAGGTGGCGGTCTTGTTTTGGATATCAAACGCAAGCCAGCCAAGATATGCTGTAAACAATCCGTTCAAAATAATGGTGTACTCAAGTCCACTATTTACAACCTTTTCACGGAACGAGGCTTTGGTATCGGTTATCAGATGATCACCAACACTTTTCAGACAGGAATAATAAAACATATTTGTGTTATTACAGTTGCTTACAAAAGTATAGTCTAGTTAAATGACAAAACTTACGCATAGTCTATACCAAATTCAGATGGAATAAACCTTTTCACACCAGCAGCTTTAGCAGCGTTCAACAATGGAGTTTGAAGAGTGTCAAAATCATAACCGCCCGTGGCCAGTCCGGGAGATGCAGTACTAATTAGAGCATCGGTTCCGCGAAGAGCTTTGACAAGACTATCGTGCTGATTATAATCAGCGTAGACAATTGTTGCACCCTTGGAAGCCAACGAGTCGGCTTTATCGTTTGGGGTTTCTGGCAGTCTTCGAAGAATCTTTACTTTAAATGATCCATCGTTCAACAAGGCTTCAGCTATATGAAAACCCAAAAGTCCGGTGCCTCCTGCGACGGTTACGTTGGTAAATGTCATGATAAATAAAGGATATGTTTTTTTGCGTATACGCTGTTTTTCCTACTTCCCAATGCCAGACACGTTAATTTTATACGTTTTGGAATTTTCGGAAAAATAATTTACCAGACAAAAATTACTATAGTTTCGAACAGGTTTGTAAAAAAGTTTTTCCAATGCTGGTTATGAATCAGTTCTGTGATAACAGCTCAAACCCGTTTGCTATTCTTAATTTGGAACATATCATAGCAATAGATGGTATGTTTTTGGCAAGTAGAGCATCTTAATAATGACCACTTTTAAGCCAATCATATTACTATTTCTTAATTTGTCGCCATCACTTTGACACATTGCGAATATTGCTACAAAATTTCATTGGATGATTTCTTGTTTCGATATCCCATTTTTTCCGAAAATCTTGGAATGTGATTGGCTGTGATTGAATTTTGAAAATTCCCATAAAAGTAATGCAATTGAAATTCAACACAAGTCACAGACGATCATCAACATGTTTGATAAATCCGATATCGACAGGGCAATTAATTGTTTGAAACTTTCCATAAAAAGTAATACAATTGAAATGCAAGTTTGACAAATCACAGACCATATTTGATAAGTCTGATATGATGATAATATTGGCTGGCGATTGATTTTTAAAAATTTCCATAAAAAGCAATACAATTGAAATTTTCCTGAAACGTAACACCAAATCATCCCCATACAATAATATTAAACATTGTTATTCGGCTGACCGACAAGTAAGATATTGTCGCCAATGCACCGTTGGTGGCATTTGGCGTTTCAATTGTGATACGGTTTTCGCCTCTCCGTTCTCTAGATTTTTTTCCCAAATAGGATAATAACAATAGAAAAATTAGCAGGAACAAATACTGAATAGTCCGCTAACGAATGGGACCTTTTTTATTACTATATGTATATTATCTATCAATCATATTGATAAGTAAATTCACTTGCGTACAATCTCCGTTCATTAATAATCATGTACTCTATTTGTTAATTTATTAACAGTACGTTTATCAACTCTTCATAACTAAAGCTTCATATAGTCTTCAAAGAAAATGCACAACAACTCTATTACGAGCTTTGTATCGTAATCACAATTGCCTTCGCTATTGCATCACTCAAAAAAATGCATAATATGTCTATTATCGTAATTACAATTTTGTCTGAAATGCACAATCTTCTATTACGTAATTATGAGTTTTGTATCGTAAATATCCTTTCTTAATCTTAAAACCCCTTGAAAATACTGAATTACAAGTACCTGACGATGAACCGAGTTTCGCAGCACAGTTGCCAACAAAGAAATACAAATAAACAAGCTAGAGTTAGAGAAATTGGTACCAATTAGCGCTGAGAATTTTTGAGAAAAGCATATCCAAACTGGAGGAATATATGCCACATAAAATTTTGATACGGCGTGTAAAAATTCTAATCGATGTATCAAAAAGGGCCCTTAATATGATGGCAGATATAAGGAAAGAGATTCAACACATTACACCAATGTTTCTGAAGATTGAAAAATAGCAGGATTGCTTACTAAATTCGACAGATAAACAGTTATCATACCTCAGCCTCTCAACAATTTAATAGCAATAGTGCAATTCGGCTACCTGTGAGCACAATTTAGATAGTCGAGCGATAAATCATGTGTATTATCAAATTACGTAAATCAGATTATCGTCAGCCACTTACGTCAATTTACATTATCTACTTATTGAGGCTGGGACAAGTTATCGTGAATGGATATCCGCTGTTAAAGTGGTCTGGTTTAGAAAAGAATACAAATGAGCAACAATTAGATGGAATGAGGTTAGGTTTCTATCCATTTTAAGTCTACACAAGTATTGATGAGTCGTCATGGTACGTGATATACGAATTATAATTATATGTGACTTGTAGTATTGTTATCTGCACTGTATATACCGGTTTTTTCCTATAATCTAAATTTTAGGAACAGTTCTTAATCCTCTTGTATAATGGCCGCGGTCAAAATAACACTAGATGAACAATAGTATAAAACATAATAAAATCCTATTCTTTTACTGGTCAATTGCGTTGCCAACAATTATATTATTTCTATGTCTTTCTTATTTCTACGTACCAATTGTCATATAAAAGACGTTTTTTTACAACATAAAGAAATATTTGCTTGTAAAAGCAGTACAATTGACGCCATGCTTCACGATAAAAAGATAGTTAGTTATTGAAAAAAGTAATACACAACACAACTTAAAAAAAAAAAAAGCTCTTAACACAGTAACAAAGTTTATCTAACAATAGTATTTATTCTAAAAAAAGATATACACTTGGTTTACAGCGTATACGCCATACAGTATCTCGACGCAAAAATGGCGTATCTCAATTTAGATCGTTATTGTATCGAAAAATCTTAGACGATCATTGTATGATGGTCGTAACTGGATCTTCTAACAAAGACAACGACCCAAAACATACTCACGAGACAACTTGGAAGAACGTCTTTCGAGACGAGTTGACGAAGCCTTTATACAACCCGGACTTGAATTTTATTGAAAATTTAAAAAAAAAAGTGGAGAAAAAAATCAAGGATTTGGTGGCAAAAAAATAATAATAAAAAATTCTCACAAGAGATTTTTCTTACCTAGGAAATGGGGGCAATCTTTCGATAGTAGTCTGTTGTGCTGAAGAGGTCGTACAAAATATTATGCAACTAATAAAATCTGTTGAGTTATTATTAGTTTTTACGTATCATCAAAAATGTGTACGCCATTTTTTTCGACGGGGGACTGTACGTAATAAAGATATCGCAATAAATTTATTTTCACATAATCTATATAAACTTGTTTGCTAAGTAAAGGACAAACTTGATACTTTGGACAGCAAAATCTACAGCATCCTAGCGGCAGAAGAAAGATAATACCAACCAGAGAGAAGGTTAGTGTGCAAATAAATCAATAAGCAAATATTTAGACCTATTTGCCAGAACGTAGTCAAAACAATTATTTCAACTCCCTTATATCATTTACTACAAACATCGAAACTCGCTTTTTGTTCGAAAGTTAGAAAAACCAGATTTATTACATTTTAGGTTAAAATAAACTTACTACTATATCAATATTGCAAAAAAGAATACGCTTTGCAATGTTTTGTATAAGACAGACGCTTATTAGAAAAGTACACTGACATAGTGCGGGAGTTCTATGTTCAACTCTGACTTTACATACCAAACAGATGCCTGCTAAACAAGCGCTCTGATAGTGTCAACGAGGGAGCGAGGGCTGAAACTAAACTTGTCGTTATCAATATTTTCGAACGCTGATCTTTCCGAAATGGTGGCTATAAGCAAATCCGTTGATGAAGGAACTGGATCAATCTTATTCTGAAATCTATGCTTTACTTCTTTATCTACAACAACTTCCCATTTAGAACCTTAAATACAAGTTAACATAATTAACACATGTATTTTTCAAAAAAGAGAAAGCAGTAATTTGCAAAAGACTCACCGGTAGTTTCTTCAAATGTTTTAAGTATCTCGTTTAGTGAAAATCTCGAACCAGCAACCCGGATAGTGGCGTTACGACTTTCTTCCAATTTAAGAGATTCAACGGTATATTTGCCGATATCTGACAAAGAAGTAGCGGCCAATATGGTGTTGCCGTCTGCGTAAAATTTGGCGGTCTTATTTTTGATATCAAACCCGACCCAGCCAATATATTCTGCAAACAACCCGCATTCAATATAGGTGTACTCCAGTCCGCTTTGTTCAACCTTCTCACGGAACGAGATTTTGGTATCGGTTACCAGATGATCACCAACTCTTTTCAAACAGGATAGTAAAATGTATTTGGGTTATTACAATTGCTTACAAAAGCATAGTTTATAAGAAATGAAATACTTGAAATGTCAAAACTTACTCAGCCTCCATACCAAATTCAGATGGAATAAATCTTTTAACACCAGCAGCTTTAGCAGCGTTCAACAATGGAGTTTGAAGAGTGTCAAAATCATAACCGCCCTTGGCAACTCCAGGAGATGCAGTGCTGATTAGAGCATCAGTTCCACTAAGGGCTTTGACAAGACTATCATGCTGATTATAATAGGCGTAGACAATTGCTGCACCCTTGGATGCCAACAAGTCGGCTTTCTCATTTGGGGTTTCTGGCAATCTCCGAAGAATCTTCACTTTAAATGATCCATCGTTCAGCAAGGCTTCAGCTATATGAAAACCCAAAGCTCCAGTGCCTCCCGCGACAGTTATGTTGGTGAATAATGTGTTGCTCATGATAAATCAAGGATATATTGTTGTATGTGCTGTTTTCTACTTCCGATGCCCGATAGGTTCATTTTATATTTTTTTTTTCATAAGAAACTGTCTTACAAACCCTGTTAGAAGCTTAGTAATTTTGGTCTAGTTGAATACTTTTGCCGAAAATCCGGATTCGGTGTGATATGTTTTTCCCAGATCAAACATTTGTGGGGTAACAACTCAACTCGTAGACAGGGTATTAGCATGTAGCACAACGCTTAATTTTTAAGAATTATTAAGCCAATCGTAATGCCAACACTTCAACACATTGCGAATATTGCGAATGTTTCCTTTATGCTTACTTACGTCAAGCATCAGCGGAGCGGTAAGATATCCAAGCTCTCGAGTCTGTGGTGACTGATATATAGCTTGTCGGTTTATCACTTGTCACATGATTTTGTTACGTAATTAGTAACACACTTTAAACGGAATTTTGTGAAACTAACTTTAGAGAATTTGTCATCCGGAGCTAGGTTACATAAATAGTTAGGATGCTTACTAATATTACATAAACAGTATCATACATCAGACGATGTCACAACTTAGATCGTCGAGCTGTGAAGATGAATATCGAGACCGCTTGAATTGGTATTGGTTAATGTAAAGGAGAATACAAAGAGCAACAATTAAACGGAATGATGTTAGGTTTTCTGCCCATTTTAAGCATCGTCATATATACTATATAGTACGAAATATACGAATTATAATTATATGTGACTCGTAGTATTATTAGACTGAACCTCTTTATACCGGCTGCTGCATATACCGTTTTTCCTATAATAATCTAAAGTCCAAGAACAGCTTATAATTTGTTCTCCTGTATAACGGCCGCCACTAATACCCTTTGTTATAAAATATTCTTTGTACCGATCAATTGTGTTACCAACAATTGTATTATTTCTGTCTTACCATCTTTCCTATTTCTACGTACCAATTGTCATGTAAAAGACTTTCTTTACAACTAGCAGATAACATAAAAAACAACACCCCTCATTGCTTGACGGAAAAGAAAGTTGTCAATCTAAGTTACGAAATTCTTATTAATGTTAACGGAAATGTTTGCCTGTGAAAGTAGTAGAGAAAGTAATCTGGTACAACTAAAAAAAACGCTCTTAACACACATTAACCAAGTTTATCGATAAACAGTACAGCCGTGGTAGTATAAGTTTAAGAAAGGTAGAAAGTTAAGCAACAGTCTTAGAAAAACGTGTAGAATGAAAATCAAATTAGTTGCAGAAAGCCTGAATATGTAATAGTAAGTGGGCTGCTCTTGTATTTACTAGCTAAATTACTTGATTTCTCTTGCTGCGCTGGCTCCACGATATGGTTAGCTCTGCCAGGCTTGAAAAGATTGTTGCAACGACGTAAGCTAACTGCAAGAGACTGTTTATACTGGTCTTACCTTACTATACAGATGAGCCAATAGTAATTAAAAATTTAATTATTATCTACTCACAAATAAAACTACTCTATTATTAATGTAGAACATTTACATGGTGATACAGGGTCCGTTACCAACAAGCGGAGCAGATTCCGTGTCACAGCTGCTGCAGATCGCCACAATCATCACAAACGCCACAAAGTTCAGCGTCGGTTTTAGATTACGATGATACATCAGCTTTAACGTTACAGAACGTTTTGTATTTGAAACCCTTTGTCTGTTGATTCAGGCTGGGCTATTGTTATATCAATTTTGAAACTTGAATACGATGTTTGAACTCAAGTCGGCTGAGTTGACTCTTACGAGTTACCTTAAACGCTTTAACTGACAAGCGCGTTATTTATGTTTTTACTTACGACAGGAGATGTTAGAACGATGGAAAGAACACTTTGAATATTATTACAAAGGTATCTATCATTGTCATGACAAAAGGGATGGGACGAATAAAGGGTGGTTTCAGAACAACTATAAATTAGATAGCTAAGTAGTCGATATTCTGGCAACGAAAAACTTTCATATACAAAGTCATAGTGACAAATACATAAACGATCAATAAATAATTTTTAATCACAATCTTGTTTTATTTCTGATTTTGTTTCAACAATGAATACCATCGTTAATATCACTCCTAACGAAAAACGAATCCTGTTTAACGTGAATGAACCGATTGAACTTTCTATCGAAAAATTTGAAAAAAATTGGTGGCCATTGGTAACAAACAGACGGACACAAAATATAATTCTTACAAACACGTCAATAGCAATGTTATGTTTGCCGCTTGGCTAAGCATCGAGAATCAAGCACGCGACAGGAAGGAGTATTAGTTGATAAGCGTAGACAAACATCACGGCCTGCGCTTTTTGACCCGGTTGGCGTCCGACTGTCAAATTTTTGTAATACCAAGACCGAAATCACATGGCTAATATCCTCGCAAGTCGCAAGTCATTCAAATCGAACGTTATAACGATTCTCCTGATCATACAAATCATATACAAGATATTGACAGAATAAAACGTCCACGATTTGATTGAACAGGAGGCTAAGAAAAACTATCCGTCACCTGCAACTGTAAACGTTTTAAAAGAATATGGCGCTGACTGCCTCAGCCGTGCAGGAATTAAAGCGAAAAAAAGTAACGAATATTATGCATAAAGTTCGGGGAGCAATGGAAACCAATCTCATCGATAGCGATAATGAGAAACTGACAAAGTCACATTTAAAGAATCAAGGATATAAGGTTAATCATTTTCATGTATCCTCGCACTCCACCCAAGGCCTTGTTTTTATGCGTTCTGCACAACTCACAAAACTTAGAAATTATGTTAACGCTGATTGATTCTACTCATAAACCAACAAATAATATTAGCATCTTTTCACATTGTATATCCGCGATGGTTATGGATGTTGGGACTTGGTGCACATTTTTTCATTAGTAGGGAGGATGGTAATACAGTTGCAGAGGCAATTAAAATTGTTAGATCTATTTATTTTTATGGACCAAAACAATGTTGAAGCTAATGCAATCAAAAAAGCTTTTCCGGGTTTGCAGGCTGGTGTCGTGCCGACTACTGCGGGAGAGCAGAAAGTAATCGACACTTGGGATTTAACTAGTCTCGACGGAGCGTGG